TCAATGAGTAAAAAAATTCGTAACTTTAATTGTGAGTTTCATATCAACTTCCAACTTGTTTTGTATCATGGAGAAACTTCATTCAGCAAATCCTGAAAGTTTCAAGTTGCTGGAAGTATTTTTCATGAACTTTCAAAAGTGATTTTACAAGAATTTTAAGATTTTTTTCAGGTATCAAAGAATGTTGTCAGTTTGATATCAACTTCCAACTTGTTTTGTATCATGAAGGAACACCATTTAACAAATCCTGAAATTTTCAAGTTAATGAGATAGCTGAAAGTATTTTTCAGGAACCTCCAAAGGTGATTTCACAGAAACTTTATGATTTTCTCAGATAGCAAATTCGTAACTTTAGTTGTGAAATTCATATCTACTTCTACTATCTTGAAAAAACTGCATTGAACAACTCCTTAAAATTTCAAGTTGCTAGGCTAGCTGAAAGTATTTTTTAGGAACCTTCAAACGTGATTTTACAGGAATTTTATGATTCTCTTAGGTATTATCGAGTAAAAAAATTCGTAACTTGAGTTGTGAGTTTTATATCAACTTCCAACTTGTTTTGTATTATGAGGAAACTTCATTTACTAAAGCCTGAAAGTTTCAAGCTGCTAGGATGGCTGGAAGTATTTTTCAGGAACCTTCAAAGGTGATTTTATGATTTTCTTAGGTGTCAATGAGTAAAAAAATTCGTAACTTTAATTGTGAGTTTCATATCAACTTCCAACTTGTTTTTTATCATGGAGAAACTTCATTCAGCAAATCCTGAAAGTTTCAAGTTGCTGGAAGTATTTTTCATGAACTTTCAAAAGTGATTTTACAAGAATTTTAAGATTTTTTTCAGGTATCAAAGAATGTTGTCAGTTTGATATCAACTTCCAACTTGTTTTGTATCATGAAGAAACTTTATTTAACAAGTCCTGAGAGTTTCAAGTTGTTGTATGGCTAGAAATATTTTTCAAGGTGATTTCACAAGACTTTTATGATTTTCTCAGGTATCAATGAGTAGAAAAATTTATAACCCGAGTTGTGAGTTTCATACCAATTTATAACTTGTTTTGTATCATGAAGAAAATTCATTCAACAAATCCTGAAAGTTTCAAGTTGCTGGGATGGCTGGAAGTATTTGTCAGGAACTTACAAAGATGATTTTACAGGAATTTTATGATTTTCTCAGGTATCAATGAGTAAGAAAATTCGTAACTTTAGTTGTGAGTTTCATGTCAACTTCCAACTTATTTTATATCATGAAAGAATTCCATTTAACAAATTCTGAAACTTTGAAGTTGTTGGGATAGCTGAAATTATTTTTCAGGAACCTTCAAATGTGATTGTACAGGAATTTTATGATTTTCTCAGGTATCAATGAGTAAAAAAAATTCGTAACTTCAGTTGTCAATTTTAAATAAACTTTTAACTTGTTTTGTATCATGAACAAACTTTATTCAACAAATCTTGGAAGTTTCAAGTTGCTGGTAGGGCTGAAAGTATTTTTCGGGAATCTTTAAAGGTGATTCTACAAGAATTTAATAATTTTCTCAGGTATCAATGAGTAAAAAAATTCATAACTTTAGTTGTGAGTTTCATATCAACTTCCAACTTGTTTTGTATCATGAAGAAACTTCATGTAACAAATCCTGGAAGTTTCAAGTTGCTGTGATGGCTGGAAGTATTTTTCAGGAACCTTCAAAAGTGATTTTATGATTTTCTCAGGTATCAATGAGTAAAAAAAATTCCTAACTGTAGTTTTAAATTTTATATCAACTTCCAACTTGTTTTGTATCATGGAGAAACTTCATTTATAAAATCTTGGAAATTTCAAGTTACTGGTATGGCTGAAAGTATTTTTCAGGAACCTTCAAAGGTCATTTTACAAGAATTTTATGATTTCCTCAAGTATTAATGAGTAAATAAATTCGTAACTTTAGTTGTGACTTTCATATTAACTTCCAACTTGTTTTGTATTATGAGAAAACTTCATTTGACAAATCCTAGAAGTTTCAATTTGCTGGGATAGCTGAAAGTATTTTTCAGGAACCTTCAAATGTGATTTTATAGGAATTTTATGATTTTCTCAGGTATCAATGAGGAAAAAAAATCGTAACTTTAGATGTGAGTTTCATATCAACTTCCAACTTGTTTCGTATCATGAAAAAACTTCATTTAACCAATCCTGAAAGTTTCAAATTGCTGGGATGGCTGGAAGTATTTTTCAGGAACCTACAAAGATGATTTTACAGGAATTTTATGATTTTTTCAGATATCAATGAGTAAAGAAATTCGTAACTTTAGATGTGAATTTCATATCAACTCACAACTTGTTTTGTACTATGAAAAAATTTCATTTAACAAATCCTGAAAATTTCAAGTTGCTGGGATGGCTACAACTATGTTTCAGGAATCTTCAAATGTGGTTTTATAGGAATTTTATAATTTTTTGAGGTATCAAAGAGAAAAAAAATCGTAACTTCAGTTGTATACCTATAATTCAACTTTTGATTGTCTTAGAAACCAGTCAATTCATCAAAGCAAATCAAAGTATCCCAATCAAGAGCCGGGAATAGTCAAAATTTGAATTTTCATTAATTTAATAATGCAGATTTTGACCATTGGGCGATTTTTATAATCAAAAAAAAATTCAATCCATCATATCGAATCAAATTAACCCAACTGTACCTAAGACTAAGGACCATCCTAAGCTGATCTTAATTGTTAAGCCTGTTGGGTTATAGTTTTAGAACTTTTCTGATCCATACAAGCAATATTATCCTAGCAATTTTGCATTAGCTGCGAAGATTACATATAGGTATACAAAATGTACAATTGCAATTAATAATACATATTTTCAAAAAATACTTTCATCAATATTGGAGTTTTATCGAAACATTTCATACTGCACTGTAAAACCATCAAATTACGAACCCATTTAGGATATATAAAGTTCAAAAAATTAATAACCCAAATACAAAAAAAATTAAAAATCTAATAATCCAGCCCATAATGTCACATTGTAGCCCCGCTAATCCGGGAAATATTTGCCATAATAAAAGAGGGGATTGAAAATCTAATTTCGCGTCTTTGGGGCCACGGAACGGCTCCAGTTTCAATTTAGAATGCTAATTAAAACTTAAGCCTAAAAGTTGCGACCGGGCTTAAGCTGGCCCTTATTTCTGATAACTGCGCTGTTTATGAGAGGATTTTGAAACATGTGTTTAGAATTTCAGTATAGATTTTTTATTATATAAAGCAAAACTTTCAAAAGATAAATAAATAAGCAGGCAAAGTTCTAGCACCCCGGAACTAACGGCGGACGGATTAAGATGCCAAGTTTTATTCCTCCGGGACCAACTAAAGCCTTCACGTTGAAACAGATTTCTGACAATTTACGAGAGAGGAATTAAATTAAGTAACTTAAAATCCAATAATATACATCGGAGATTTTGTAATATCGGGATTTATTCTCATGCAAGTAGGGATTATCTATATGCATACGTGGAACTAAATTGAATTTCTTTGTACTTTGAGCTACTTGAAACTTTATATATGTTGCATATATATAATTAGCTGTTTATACAAAAAAAAAAAAAAACAATGTCCAATTTGAATTTTTATTTACCTCTCTCTTCTAAAACAATGCGGCATTACTTATAGAAGCCCGAAATTACATTTGTCTGGGGCGAGGAACGAGCCAATTCAGTAAAACTAATGCCGTCGCTGCCGTTGCCTTTTATTTTGGAAAATTTAATAAGCCGAGTAACTTTTTCAATTCGGTTGCCTCTGCCTTTGTTCGGTAAATCTTAGTGGGATAAATTTGTTTTTTAAAAATATATATTCAAATATATTCAATAATACTTTTATGGAAGATTGTTAAAGATTCATCGACTGCGAAGATTGTAAGGATTTTGAAGAAGCTCAAATACTTTAAAGACTTAAAATCTTGATTTGAAGCCTTTGAAACTGCAGATATATTGAGAATTATAATCAAGTCATTCACGAAAACATCTGCTTTTGGATAGAGGCAAAAATCATATTTAGATCTTCTAAAACCCAAATCTATCATGATTTAATTGAATTTGTTGTTCCTTTCAGCCGTCCTGGCAACTTGAAACTTTCAGGATTTGTTAAATGAAGTTTTTTCAAAATACAAAACAAGTTGGAAGTTGATATGAAATTCACAACTAAAGTTACGAGTTTTTTTACTCATTGATACGTGAAATTCCTATAAAATCACATTTGAAGGTTCCTGAAAAATACTCTCAGCCATCCCAGTAACTTGAAACTTTCAGAATTTGTTAAATAAAGTTTCTTCATGATACAAAACAAGTTGGAAGTTGATATGAAACTCACAACTGAAGTTACGAATTTTTTTACTCATTGATATCATCATAAAAAATTCTTGTAAATTCACATTTGAAGGTTCCTGAAAAATACTTTCAACAATCCCAGTAGCTTGAAACTTTCAGAATTTGTTAAATGAAGTTTCTTCATGATACAAAACATGTTGGAAGATAATATGAAAGACACAACTAAAGTTACGAATTTTTTTACTTATTGATTTCTGAAATTTCTGTTAAATTGCCTTTGAAGGTTCTTGAAAAATACTATCAGTGATTCCAGCCACTTGAAACTTTCAGGATTTGTTAAATGAAGTTTTTTCATGATACAAAACAAACTGGGAGTTGATATATGAAATTCTTGTAAAATCCTTTGGGCTTTCCTTAAGACCGTACAGTGCTTTATTTAATTTCATACATACAGCCTCTGCTTGCATATTTCTGCATATTTTTTTACATATTTAGAAATCTTTCGCTCTCATAATCCTCAAAATTCATGAAGAAATAAGGTAAGGGTCCATCTCTCAAGCCCTCAAAGTCTTTGAAAACTCATTTGCATTAAATTGAATTGCTACTTTTCTCAACTCTCATCCCTCATCGCTCGGTAAAAACATAGAAAACTTCAAAATGTGTTTTTATTTATTGAAAACTTTAAGCTGCGTGTAATTAGTTTATGTAAGTTACTTAAGCCAGACATTATTGCTTGGGTCAATTCATCATTATTATTATTGGTTTCTAGAAAATACTGATACTACTGAATAGGCCAGTTTGACTCTCTGAAATAAGCTCAATTATTAAATTTCTTTATTATTCTATACAAAATTCCTCACCGATACTGCGGCATTGAAATCCATATACCCAAAAGGGCCGATAAAAATCGTCAAAGGTTTTATGCATCTCATCAACATAATGTGAATTAAGATTTTTGAGGTTTTGTCCATTTTGTACCATGGACTATCATAGAGGGCCTTTGCCAAACCAACGGAATTCTTAAACAAGAAACATTATTATTATTTCTATTAAAATATATTCATATTTATACCTCTAGAAGAATCTCATTGGCATTCCAAACTATAGTGAATAGTTGAATGGAAACATATCCGCTGAAAAACAGATGAAATAATATTCTTTGTGCCTGAAAAACCCAAGATTATGTAATGTTTTATAATAATCAAGTATTTACTTGTAATAATTCAATAAAACTTAAAGCCAGTGTCAGAAATGTTGCGCAGTATTCCGTCAAAACGATGTACTGAAAACTTGCATTGAATTCTCCATGTAGCTGTATCAATTCTTGATGTTCTTTGATTAATTGCTTCAAGGTTTTGTCAACGACTTGCTCAATATTCCTTATACGATACTGAAGGATTCTGAGTTTTGCTTTAAGAAATATCATAACTGAAACGACAAAGTATTAGCTGATGGTATGGTGTGTGACGTCATACTAATTCTTACCGGACAAAACCAATGGTTGAACAGAGACATTGTAAATAGTTGCAAGTGCAATGTGAAGGAATTGGAAAAACAATGCTGTCTTGTAGTATTGGTACTTGTATGGAAACCGTATTATTTGTTTGATAACGTTGCGGTTTTTTCCTGATTGGACGATGATCAATTTGCTCATTATCACGCCTACGAATGTAATACATTTCACTGAGCCCAATACTGTAAGAAAAATTATTTGAATAAATGTTAAGACATACCAGTTTCCAAATCTCCTCCATTATAAATCATTTCCATAGGGAAAAAAATCAAACAGGCTGCGAACAAGCTTTGGCATTCTAATGAAAATGTTTTATACAACTTGTTGAATAATTCTTCGGCCCATATACCAGCAAAAATCATTAGAAGTTTACAAATTTTGAAAATTTTAGTTGAGTTTGCCATGTTTCAAGGTGAAATGAGAGGATGCGAGGCCCTTGTGATGGTTTTATAACCGGGAAAAGGGTGTTATTTGAAAAATTGAAAATGCATAGGGGTTATGAATTAGTGGATATTACAGTGACGTACATAGTTTTGCTTAAACTTATCAAGGGAGGAATAGGATTTGGGCAAATAGACAATCATTTATATTGGGATTTGATTTATTTATTTGCTAGTTTCAATGTCTTCAGGATTAATTTTTTATTGGAAAACTCTTCGCCCTAATCTGCTGGTAAATTTGAATATATGCCAAAAACATTCAACGAAATCCTATGAAATATTTAAAACCCTTTAAGTATTCTACAGATTTTGAGGATTTTAGAGCTATTTCTGTCACTCCTCTAGAGTTGAATTATAGAGTTCTAGAATTGAAATTAATGTAGAAAGGCTCATGAAGCTCATATTTTACTTTTGTGGATTTTAGAGCTGAAACTGCACTAGAGAGACGTGGAATTGTTATTCCTGGTACTCCTAGAGCTAGAAAACATTGAGTTTTGCTAATTCTAGAGTTGAAATTAAGTTGAAGAGTTCAGACTATTGATTTTTGTGCTTTGCAGATACAAAATTCACAACTTCCACGAGTAATACATGGACATATTATATCCTTAGAAGCTATTTGTATATATGAAACTTTAAATATTCAGTACTGAGTACCATTTTCCATTGAACGCCTTCTTTTCTATCGTTCATAATTTAATTTAACCTTGATGTATGTAATTTTAATTTAATGACCACTTAGGGGCTTGCAAAAATAATAAGATGATATTGCGAAATTGTTTTTCCTTATGAACGGCCTCTTTCCATATAATTATCTAAATGAAAAGGCTCTTTGATAAAACGTATAGGGGAGAATTATTCGTGAAAAAAATACTTAAGACAGTGGTGGCACTATTTACAGAAATCTTCAATATAATATAATTTAAATTTATATACAAAATGTGGTATACTCCTACCGACTTCGCCAAAAATAACTTGTAATGTTAAACTTTTTATTTTATTCTATGTTAACAAATAAACCAAAAGTATTATTTAATATTTAATGTTTTCCTTCATCCATAAACTACTCTCTCATCACACAGACAAAAGGGACTAAATAAGGGCCTCATGTAATTCCCGTATAGAACAGGCGTGTTCCGATATGCGCATTAATCCAATTTGAGGGTCTTTAGCGTTCGGAGAGCTAACTTATGTTCCCGATGCATAAATTTGCCCCGGCCCTTTGACGGGATGATGGACCGTATTCCAAAGGGCATAGTCGATGAACGATGACTTTAAATTTTAACACGAAACAATCGGATGAAATATATATTTTTTTTTCTGGTTGGGTAATTGGGAAAATTCGCTTCAGTGGAAAGTTTATTGGATATGGAAAAGCCAGACGATTCTCGTTTGGACCGCGAAATAAAGTGAGAAATAAAGTCTGAAATAAAATCATTATTTTGGCAACAGTAGAGGTTGCACTTGGCTTAAGTTGATTATCTATTAGAGTGTCTCAATCATTTCGTATAGAGAATACGAGAAAAAGTAACCATAAGGCATTTTTAAAGTAGAAATTTACGTAACTACTTATTTTTTCAAGTCACAAGTATTATATACATAATTAAACTTAATTGATATTTTACAAATTCTTATGCATATTTATATGTTCTTAAGCAGAATTGAATGCTCTTTAAGATAAAATAAAATTGAATCATTTACCTCTAATAGTTTTCGAGATATTGAGCCTCAAAGTTGAAACTATGTCTCAAATTTTGGAAAACATTCAAAGCCAAGTATCTCGAAAACGAAGCCTTAGGACTCGTTGCCCCAAATAATCTTTTTTGAAGCCCCATTCAAGATCTACAAGTAGACCAAATTTCAAGTCAATAGCTTTTATGGTTTCTAAAATATGGCCCTTTGAAATATTTGAAAATGAAATTTCCTTGCATACCCCTTAGAAAAATTTCAATTTTGATTTTTCTAGATTTTTCGATTTTTGACTTTACCAATCGAAAGAGGGGGTCAAATTTAGTGGATAAGCTTTTTTGTAATTTTCGTTTTCGAGGTTTTAGAGCCTAGAAAAAATTAAAAATGATTTTTGCATTTTTGGCCCTGAAAATTTTTAATAATTATGACATTGCCATACAAAAACCCCCACTACTCAATTAATATTTCACAGATTCCTATGCATATTTATATATTCTTAATCAGAATTAAATTCTCTTCAAGATAAAATAAAATTCAATCATTTATCTTAAATAGTTTCTGAGATATTGAGCCTCAAAGTTGAAACTTTGTCTCAAATTTTGGAAAACCTTCAAAGCCGATTATCTCGAAAACGAAGCCCTAGGGCTCAGTGCCCCAAATAACCTTTTTTGAAGCCCCATTCGAGATCTACAAGTAGACCAAATTTCAAGTTAATAGTTTTTCTGGTTTCCAAAATATGGCCCTTTGAAATATTTGAAAATGAAATTTCTTTGCATACCCCTTAGAAAAATTTCAATTTTGATTTTTTTATATTTTTCGATTTTTGACTTTACCAATCGATAGAGGGGGTCAAATTTAGTGGAAAAGCTTTTTTGTAATTTTCGTTTTCGAGGTTTTAGAGCCTAGAAAAAATTAAAAATGATTTTTGCATTTTTGGCCCTGAAATTTTTTAATAATTATGACATTGCCATACAAAAACCTCCACTACTCAATTAATATTTCACAGATTCCTATGCATATTTATATATTCTTAATCAGAATTAAATTCTCTTCAAGATAAAATAAAATTCAATCATTTATCTTGAATAGTTTCTGAGATATTGAGCCTCAAAGTTGAAACTTTGTCTCAAATTTTGGAAAACCTTCAAAGCCGATTATCTCGAAAACGAAGCCCTAGGGCTCAGTGCCCCAAATAACCTTTTTTGAAGCCCCATTCGAGATCTACAAGCAGGCCAAATTTCAAGTTAATAGCTTTTCTGGTTTCCAAAATATGGCTCTTTGAAATATTTGAAAATGAAATTTCCTTGCATACCCCTTAGAAAAATTTCAATTTTGATTTTTTTAGATTTTTCGATTTTTGACTTTACCAATCGAAAGAGGGGGTCAAATTTAGTGGAAAAGCTTTTCTGTAATTTTCGTTTTCGAGGTTTTAGAGCCTAGAAAAAATTAAAAATGATTTTTGCATTTTTGGCCCTGAAAATTTTCAATAATTATGACATTGCCATACAAAAACCCCCACTACTCAATTAATATTTCACAGATTCCTATGCATATTTATATATTCTTAATCAGAATTAAATTCTCTTCAAGATAAAATGAAATTCAATCATTTATCTTAAATAGTTTCTGAGATATTGAGCCTCAAAGTTGAAACTTTGTCTCAAATTTTGGAAAACCTTCAAAGCCGATTATCTCGAAAACGAAGCCCTAGGGCTCAGTGCCTCAAATAACCTTTTTTTGAAGCCCCATTCGAGATCCACAAGCAGACCAAATTTCAAGTCAATAGCTTTTCTGGTTTCCAAAATATGGCCCTTTGAAATATTTGAAAATGAAATTTCCTTGCATACCCCTTAGAAAAATTTCAATTTTGACTTTTTTGGATTTTTCGATTTTTGACTTTACCAATCGAAAGAGGGGGTCAAATTTAGTGGAAAAGGTTTTTTGTAATTTTCGTTTTCGAGGTTTTAGAGCCTAGAAAAAATTAAAAATGATTTTTGCATTTTTGGCCCTGAAAATTTTTAATAATTATGACATTGCCATACAAAAACCCCCACTACTCAATTAATATTTCACAGATTCCTATGCATATTTATATATTCTTAATCAGAATTAAATTCTCTTCAAGACAAAATAAAATTCAATCATTTATCTTAAATAGTTTCTGAGATATTGAGCCTCAAAGTTGAAACTTTGTCTCAAATTTTGGAAAACCTTCAAAGCCGATTATCTCGAAAACGAAGCCCTAGGGCTCAGTGCCCCAAATAACCTTTTTTGAAGCCCCATTCGAGATCTACAAGTAGACCAAATTTCAAGTTAATAGTTTTTCTGGTTTCCAAAATATGGCCTTTTCAAATATTTGAAAATGAAATTTCCTTGCATACCCCTTAGAAAAATTTCAATTTTGATTTTTCTAGATTTTTCGATTTTTGACTTTACCAATCGAAAGAGGGGGTCAAATTTAGTGGATAAGCTTTTTTGTAATTTTCGTTTTCGAGGTTTTAGAGCCTAGAAAAAATTAAAAATGATTTTTGCATTTTTGGCCCTGAAAATTTTTAATAATTATGACATTGCCATACAAAAACCCCCACTACTCAATTAATATTTCACAGATTCCTATGCATATTTATATATTCTTAATCAGAATTAAATTCTCTTCAAGATAAAATAAAATTCAATCATTTATCTTAAATAGTTTCTGAGATATTGAGCCTCAAAGTTGAAACTTTGTCTCAAATTTTGGAAAACCTTCAAAGCCGATTATCTCGAAAACGAAGCCCTAGGGCTCAGTGCCCCAAATAACCTTTTTTGAAGCCCCATTCGAGATCTACAAGTACACCAAATTTCAAGTTAATAGTTTTTCTGGTTTCCAAAATATGGCCCTTTGAAATATTTGAAAATGAAATTTCTTTGCATACCCCTTAGAAAAATTTCAATTTTGATTTTTTTATATTTTTCGATTTTTGACTTTACCAATCGATAGAGGGGGTCAAATTTAGTGGAAAAGCTTTTTTGTAATTTTCGTTTTCGAGGTTTTAGAGCCTAGAAAAAATTAAAAAT